AGTCCACACCGCACTTGATTCAATGAAGTCGCTTATGGAACTCCCTCCCCATTGCCCTGTGGGCTCCCTTGTGAAGGTCACAAAGGTATACTCAGCCCTGCATCTGTGGACGGGCTGATACTGCTGACCTGCACACATGCAAGGCTGCTGGAGAGGGAAGAGAGGGAGCAGTGATGAAGCCCTGTTAACTGGAGCCCCCACGGTCAGCAGAGGCAGAGCACACAGGTAGCGAGTGTGCTCATTTCAGGGTGGCAGCCTGGCAAGACAGCTAAAGCACAGGACCCTGAGCTAGCCCACTAAGTTTGTCTGAGCGCTGCCACACCCCATAACATCTCGGGGAAGACAGGAGCATCTCCACACCTCAGTGTGCTTGTATGTAGAATAGGGCTGCAGCACCAGCCTCACTGCATCCCAGTGGGGGTGAAACGACGTAACAGTCACAGTTTTGGACTGATGTGTGGCATACGGCGAGGGCTACGTAAGCATAAGTTAATTCTTAAACACACATATTTTAAAATATCTACATTTGGTTTTGGTTTGGTTTGCAGGAGGGCTATTAAAATCCTCCTACCATGCTTGATACCATTTTCCTGCTCTGGAAGGTACAGCACAGAAACTCCACTTCACACTACAAGAGGAATGTGGCAAAGACGTCTGGTTAATTGACACTCCGCATGGCCCTGACTGTGTAAACAACATCTTTGCGAGGTTTTCAGAGCCCTTTCTATTTATTCAGTTGCTTGAACGTAGGAGGTAGAGCGATGAAGCTGTACAGCTGGGTTTTTAGAAAACACATCAGACCTTAAAGATTCAATGTGGTCACCTCGGCAGGCAGGGATCACCTCCATCGCTCATGATGCTGGAGGTACACCTTGCAGGGGAGGGGATGCGCTGGGCCGGAAAAACCTGGCTGACCCTGGCTGACTGCTTAGTCAGCCTCAGCAGCCTCTGTCCATCTCTGTCTGGGTCTCTCTCCTCTCTTCCGGAGCTTGTTTGGAGGTGAGAAGGACTTTAATCATCTAATATAACTTTGTAGGGGAGGCAACCAAGGTCAAACGAGACGTCCTGAAAGTCACCCCGTGAGTAGAAACCAGCCCTTCCACCACGTAAACCCACCACAGACAATGTCAGCCTTATATACCGGTTTGGCTTCTAAATGACTTTGGCTTTTCCTAAAAAATTAATCCATTTTTAAGATGAACAGGCTTGGCGCGGTTGCTCATGCCTGTAATCCCAGCACTTTGAGAGTTGAGGTAGGCAGATCACCTGAGGTCAGTTCAAGACCAGCCTGGCCAACATGGCGAAACCCTGTCTCTACTAAAAAAAATTACAAACATTAGCCAGGTGTGGTGGTGGGCACCTGTAATCCCAGCTACTCAGGTGGCTGAGGCAGGAGAATCGCTTGAATCCAGGAGGCAGAGGTTGCAGTGAGCTGAGATTATGACACTGCACTCCAACCTTAAAAAAAAAAAAAATACTACCCCCACTGACCCACTGAGACTCTTAAGAAATGAGCATCAAACAAGCAATGAATCTGTTCACTTGTATTAATACAGAGTATGGGCCAGGAGCATGGGTCACATGTGTAATCTCAGACTTTGGGAGGCTGAGGCAGATGAATCCCTTGAAGCCAGACAATTAGGATCAGCCTGAGCAACATAGTGAGATTCCATCTCTACCAAAAGAAATAAAACGAATAGGGCATGGTGGTACACACCTGGAGTTCCAGCTACTTGGGAGGCTAGGGTGGGATGATGGCTTGAGCCCAGGAGCTTGAGGTTACAGTAAGCTATGATCACACCACTACACTGCAGCCTGGGTGACAAAGTGAGACTCTGTCTCAAAAAATAATATTAAAATATATATTTAAATAAATATATAAATTTTTAAAAATATGGAGTATGTGACCAGTCCCAGCATACTTGGTGGGGGGGCAGCCCAATTTAAACTCATTTCACAGATTAGAAAATGCTGGTAAAGAATTTCTCCAGCTGGCAGGGAACACTGGGGCTTTAACCTTCTGTAAGTAAAGGAAAGTCTACATCTTAGGCATTTGACGGCCTGTGGCTGGGAACTAGAGACTAGGTGCATGTGTATGCATGGCCACACACACGTCCCTTTGCCATGAAGTGAAGCCATAGGGGCATGCACACGTACACAATTCCCTCTGGCAGTGAAGTGGCATGATGGTTGCATGCACACGTGCACACATACACACACACAAGTCCCTTTGGCATGAAGTGAAGCCATAGCAGGTGGGCTACCAGACCCTTGGAGGCAGGAACCAGCAGGCAACCGACACTCGAAGGTTAAACCAGAGATCCTCAGGACTCCAGTGAGCAAATGAGTCATGGGCGAGAGTCCAGGACGGCCAGAGGTGTCCATCCTGGCAGCCGAGGGACCAACATCAGGAAGGACTTGGGGAGACAACAGGGCATCTCCAGGGCCTGAGCATCCCCGCCAGGGCGGGACTAGCAAGAGCAGTGCTGAGCCTGGTTCTGGGAAACCTGTGTGCCGAGCAGATTGCAAAGACAGGGTCTGAGGTGCCAGGAACTGAGGTGACGACCCTGTGTTTGGTCTTGATGCCAGGCAGGCGCCCTGCTGTGAGGACTACCGTGGGTCAGCATGGGCCTGCAGCACTGCTCCCTCAGTCCTGAGCTTCTGAATGGGCCTCCTGTATGGCTTCACACTTGATATCAGAGCCTAGAAAACAGAGTGAATGGGACTTGCAGACAGAGGCATGCCCCAGATCAGGAATCCTAAGGGGGCTGGTGGCAACAAAAGCTAATTTTATATACTTTGCTGATTCCGGGTTAAAGGCACAGGGCCCTGTATTGCATGTGGTTGCAGTTTGCCACAGTAACTCCAAGATAATCTAAAAGTCTATCTCTGGTGGCCAGGCATAGTGGCTCATGCCTGTAGTCTCAGCACTTTGGGAGGCTGAGGTGGGCGGATTCCTTGAGGTCAGGAGTTGAAGACCAGCCTAGCCAACACGGTGAAACCTCATCTCTACTAAAAATACAAAAAAAAAAAAACAAAAAAAAACTTAGCCGAGTATGGTGGCACATGCCTGTAATCCTAGCTACTTGGGAGGCTGAGGCACAAAAATCAGTTGAACCTAAACGGTTGAGGCTGCCTGCTGTGAGCCAAGATTGCACCACTGTACTCCAGCCTAGGTGACAGAGTGAGACTGTCTCAAAAAAAAAAAAAAAAAAAAATCTATCTCTGGTGGTCCCTACCAATCTTGCCCTGATTCACTTCCTGTTTTTGGTCCCTCAACCCTAATCTCAATGTCTAGATGCAAATGTTTTAATGTTACTAGGATTCATTTACACCATTAAATTAACTAACATTAAGATAGAACATTTTACTATTTCAGTTCTATTTGCATATTTTGAGAGAATCACAAAGAACAGGAATCATCTCAACCAAAGGAATGAATACCTAATGGTAAAATTTCAGCCACGTGATACTAAAATGGGAAAATATTTTAGGGCAGAGTAAAGCTGGCCACTATCCATTCCTCCTTCATAATGGCACCTCAATTTCCTTTTGGGAATTTTTCTCTCCCTTATGATGTAGCCCAAGGGCTTCCCTCTTATTAGGGATATTAAACATGACATATATATCCTCCCTCTCCTACCTAAGTATGGCAGAGGAAAGACACAGGCCCAGCTGAGCCAGTTGGGCAATGGTTGGCAGCCATTCATCACAGAGGAGGCAGAATGCTGACCCTGTAGATCCTGACGTCCAGCCCCTCAGATCCCCTCCAGTCCCTGCCGTCACCTCCAGTCCTTGCTGTCACCTCCCCTGTGCCCCCACCTCACACAGATTCTATGAGCCACTTTCTCCCATGGCCTTCCAGTAAAGTACTTTTTAAGTTCAATGGTCTTTGCTGTTTGCAAAGAACATGGATTTCCAAGTATGCCATGACCACATCTACCCGCAGTAAGGCCAGCGATGGCTAGACAGATGGCTGGCTCACTCTACCCGCTCCACACAGAGGCTGGAAGGTGACACACCACAGCGATAAATGCCGTGAACAGACACTGCTCACACATGTACAACCAGAAACAAGCCATCCAGGGCACCTGGAATTGGGAGGTGGGAAAGCTGCATCCTGTGGTCCAGTTGAAATGGGCTGAGCTCGCACACAACCCCAAAGGCCAGGCTGACAGTAGAGACATCCTCTTACCTCCCAGTCCTTCAGTCTCCCTCCTGCCACGGGCATGTACTCAGATGTGCCCAGGAACAAGTGCAGGCCTGCACCCGCACACACGCACGCAAGCAGGCTCACAGACCTGCACACACTCACACATTTGGCCAGCAGGCATTCTCTTACTCCTACGTGGGGAATCTCTCTGGGAGACCATGGCAGGCCTAGTGTCCCAAGTGGGGCCTGGGGAGCAAATGGGGAAACAGGAAAGGAAGGAATAGAGGGAGCCCCCAAAACCACGTATGCTCTTTCAGACCCTAACCCCAGAACATTCACAATCACTTCCTCCTTCTCTGGTGGGACCCAAGAAGCCAGGTCACTGCCTTCACAATCACACATCTCAAATAAGCCAGGAGTCCCAGGGACCATACCGCTTTGCTCTATGTAAGACTATCAGGGCCACCCAGACAGCCTCACTATAAAACAGTTCCAACAAGTGATGCCAAGCTGTCACTCCCCACCACGCCATGTCCACCGCATTCTCTTCCCGTCTAGGAGCCACAGGCGTTTGTGCCAACCGGAGAGGTGAGCAGGAGGGAACAGAACAGCCCAGCAGCCTCAGCACAGCGGGGACCCTCAGCCCCCTCATGTCAAATCAGCTCCTTACAGAGCTCCATCTACCCACAATGTGGACACACGGATGAGACACGTGGACATGCACACAGGCACACAAGTACACACACGGACACACTTTTCCCCAGCCCACTGGGAGCTCCATTTAAGCAGGTAACACTGGACTAAAGAAAATGGGGACGAAACTCCACGGGACCGAGGCAGAGGCAGCTTGCTTCCTAGAACGTTTATTGGAGCCTTGGTTAAGCGTGGATGTGGGTCAGGAGCCCCGCCAGGGCCCAGCCAGGCTGACTGAAGCAGGGCGCTGGGGGGCAATGTCCTTTTTCCCCGGTATAGACAACAGTATTAAAAAAAATAAACTTTACAATAATACATTTTCGCTCATCTGTTGGGGTATGATTTCCATAGTTTGGTTGCTTAAAAAAAGGAAAGAAAGGGGAAACCACACGATATATGTATATGGATGTGTATATACATATATGTTAGGAGAGGCGCCCCGGTGCGTACGTACAGCTGACGTATATCTAGGAAATCAGGAAAGAGAACGTGGAGAGGAGGAGGGAGAAGAGAGCAGGAGTGCTCCAGGCCCAGGTGCTGCAGACACATGCCCAGTTGTGGTCTCTCCTCTCCTTCTCCCCAAACGGAGACCTGCCAAAAGGACCCACGAGAAACCAAAAAAAGCCACCAAAGGATCATTTCTCTCTGACTTCAGAATTTTTGCCACTGAGAAAGAAGCTGGTGTCCAAGTTTTGCTGCCTCCCCACAAGGGGTTCTCCCAGGCAGGCTAAACTCCGAAGTCCTCCTGGAGCTGGTCCCCAGCCCCACCACTCCAGGCTACGGTCAGGGGGAGCCCAGCACGGGGCTAACCCCCTCCACTGGCATCTGTGGGGAGTTCCCACACCAGCTGCAGACCCACCAGCTGCACCCAAGGGCAGAGACGGAGGGCAGAACCACCTCCATCCTTGAAGCCAAGGGGCTGAAGGTGGACCCCGCTGCCCCATTGACCAATGCCCTCTTCCAGCCCCCAGTAGGTCCCCAGAGTAGACAGCCTGGGGAAGCAGCTGTGTGGTCCTGCCCCCAGCCAGCCTCAGGCTGAGTCCCTTCCGCTGTAGGGCACTTGTCCGGGTCTCTGCTTCAGAAGGGTCCAGAGAAAAAAACACCAGGAGAAAGTGAAGGGCATATCTAGAGCGTCGTGCCCTCTTCAGCACCAGGGTGTCCTCAGCCAGGGAACCCCTGTGCCAGCTCTAAGGCTGCCTGCCTGCTTGTCTGTTTGGTTTAGAAAAACTTCTCCAGAGAAGAAACCTGGGAGGAGACAGGTTCAGCGACAAGGTGGGAAAAACAATTTTTTTTTGCAAGGTGTGTGTATGTCTGTGTTTCCGTTTCATCAGGCAGGTGTTCTTGTCTGCGTAGCTTTAGAAAATCTTCCAACTCAGTTCCCAGGGCCTACAAGGCCAGTTTCAGCAACAGGACAGACAGCATGGTCAAGGCAGCCGATGGTCTGGCTCTGCTGGGGCCTGAGTTAGGTTTGATTACCTTATTACTCCCTGGGATGATATTTGTCGTGAGCTGAGTCCACAGGAGGAGAGTCAGGAACAAAGAGAGTGAAAACAGAGAAAACAGTCAGGAAGCCTGGGATCAGGTAGAGAAATGGACTCAGGAACTGGAGACCTCAAGCCCCCGCCCTCTTACGCCCACAGGGACCCTTCTTTGCACTCTGAAGGCAGTGCTGGCTCTCCTGGAGCTAGCCCAGGCAGGAGTAACAGGGGAATGCTCTGTCCCTTCTTGTCACAGGCCCTGGGGTTTGGAGAAGAGGGCAGCGGTCCCCAGGAAAACAGGCTGCTCCTTCCTGCATGAGGGCTGTGGACCTGAGTCCCAGTGAGAAAGGAGATGGTATAAAGAGTTCCAGGAGAAGGAGCTCATAGGCTCCACAGGGATCTTCTTCTGGAGAGGAGAGGGAGACCACATTCTCCCTGTTCCTAAATTTCTTTAAATCTCTCCTCCTCCATGAAGCCCTCCCTGAACGTATTTGTCTGAGTTTCTCTCTCTTCCTTCTGCAAGGTCTCACAATGACTTTTTTTTCCATCTAAGTTACTATATTGGGTCTGGAAGTCACATATATTCCTATGCTGGGAGTTTCTTCAAGGAAAGAACTGGGTCTGTTTCCACCACTGTGCCTCCTGAATGTCACAGAAACAGTGCTGAGCAGGTAGTCGACACAATTGTCTTGAAGAGTAAGGAAGCTATGGGAGGGCCTCTGCTCAGAGCAGCCATTTGTCTCTCCCCAAGGATACGACCTTTGCACTCCCCCACCCCCACTCCAGCACAGTAAGTGCCCACCCAGGTCCAGAAGCTCAGCTGGTCCAGCCCATGCAGTGAGATTTGAGGGTGCTGGATCTAAGGCTTGCCAGGGAAATGCCGCCCCACCCCGGCCCAGCCCTCCGCCCACCCACACTCTGCCCCCAGCTCACCTCTGTGAAGCACATGCTTAACTCTTTGGAGTTGTTGGCCTTCAGCCCCTGCTCCTGCAAGAGAGAAGGCACCAGTCAGGGCAAGTCACCAGGCCTTTCCTGGCTGCGCTTTGTCCAGTGACTTAGATGAGGGCATGTCACACACTGTTGGCTTTGCTAAGCACAGCGTACCCCGTGAAGAGGGGTGGCTCAATTCCACATAGAACAAAATGCTCCTGTCCCTCTCTGACACCCTCAGCAACTAGGTCCTGACTCCTCTGGCTCCTGGAGAACAGAGGTTCTGAAGCTCTCAACTAGCAGCATTATATAGTCATCAGCCATTTGCATGTCTGTCTACACACTCAGAGCAACTCTTAGGAACTGCGTCTTCTTTTCCTTGCACTGAGTAGTATCAGGTTCATAATAACTCAACAAGTATTTCATTCACTAGATGCCTGTATCCATGAATGACTGAATGAATGAATGAATGCGTGAATGAATGATGAATGAATGAATGAATGAATGCTACAGATCAGAAATAGCCTCCAAGAGCCAACACCTGTTAAGTTGACATGGCTGATGGAGGGCTCTACAGAAAAAGATCATGAGCGCTCATCTGGCCTTGAGAGAAAGAGAAGCGTGATTGATTAGTGATGTCTGCCACTGGTATCCATTAGGTGGATATCTGGCAATTGCACCAGGCCATTTCTGTCCTAAATGGATGTGCGCACCTGGGAGCACTGTGGACACGGTGAGGGACGAGAAAGGCTGGCTTGGTGATGATTCCAGGATTCTCTACCCTGACATGGCCACCTGGATGCAGGGCCAGAGGGTGTGCATGATCAACAGCCCTGTGCTATCATCACCATAATGGAGAAGCATGGGAACCAGCTGGGGAGGCAGCACTTCCACCCAAGCTTCAAATGGCTTGTTCCCAAGGCACTTTCAGGGAAGCTCTGGCCACCAGAAGCAACTGGGAAGCACAAGAAATTATGCTGAAATCACTGCTCTTGGCTAGGAGTATCAATAACCCCTTGGACATCACAGGCAATCTACCACCCAGGGCATCTGGTCAGCTAAACAAGACCCCAGCTGTGGTGTGGAGACCCCAGCCAAGAGTCGAGTCCCTGTCAACGGTGAAGATAAGACCATGGTGATGATTAGCACAGCAGAACGGAACCCGGAGTGTCCCCAGGTGACAAGGCGGCACCCAGCCACCTCCCCAGCTGTTGCCCTCTGCAGAAGGGGATGTGCTTTACAGCACCTTCCAGACCCAAGGCCTGGACTCTACTCTCCAGGGCTTGGTGCTGCTCCAGCTAAGACTGTCTGAGGCCACCGGGCTGGGTAAGGGGGAAACAGAGCACGCCCACCCCCTCGGAGGCTGTGCTGCCATCATGGCATCTCATCTGTCCTCCCGCAACCCTTGGCCGATCCTTGCTCAGTCACCTCAGTCCCCACATGTGACATCCTATGGCCCGTTGGGGTCTATGCGTGTGGCCCAGCACCTATGGACACCCAGCATCCCTTCCTACTCTGATCGTTTTGGGTGTGGCAGGCCAGGCCCCGCCATTTTTGGGAGTCCCTGTCTTATCCCTGTGTCCCCCCCAACACAGGGCTCACTAAACACAGAGCCCACATGCAATCACAGAGCAGAAGCCTCCTGAACTCAAGGTCCTCACCCCCCATCCACCAAAGCAGCTCCACCAAACAAATAAAAACAAATTTTTATTTGTTTTGTATAGTGAGGTTACCCATAAAATTATTTGGAAAATGGTCTATCACTTAACAAAATAAGGCTTGAGAAAACAACCAACAAGAAGGGCCCGGGGAGGTGGGGGGCCCGGTACAATGTGCTGTGGCTGTACTGCTCTCAGGGGAGCCCTGGACCTAGACACTCTGCAGCATCACACCCAAGGTCAGCCCATGCAGAGCTGCTGACAAAGCACCCAGCACCCTGAGCACAGCATCTTCCCTGGTCTGGGGGTTCGACCAGGTGTGAAGAGAGAGGATCTGAAGGCTGAGCTCTCTGGAGCAAAGGAGGCCTGCAACTGGATTTTGCTCCTTGGAGTGAACAGAACTTGACAGGTTCCTCTTAATGAGGATAGAGGGAAGGGGACGCTGGCAAGTATTACACAGTAAAAATGACAGGGAAGAGGAGAGTGAGGGAAGGGGTGGAAGAAAGATAGGAGACCAGGTGAAGGGAGAAGAGGAGAAAGGGAAACAGGAAAGAGGGAGTGGGGGGGGACAGAAGAGCAGGGAGAGAATGGGGGAGAGGGGGAGGGGACAGAGGAAAGGTGAGGGGAGAGAGAAGGGAGGGGACAGGGGAAAGAGTAGGGGGCAGAGGGAAGGGGGAAAGGACAGAGGGGAGGGGACAGATGGGAAGGGGACAGAGGAGGGGGAGGGGACAGAGAGGGGGAGGGGACAGAGGGAGAAGGGAAGGGCAGAGGAGAAGGGAAGGGACACAGGAGAGTGGGAGGGGATGGGGGACATAGGAGAGGGGGAACGAACAGTGGAGAGGGGAGGAGACACGGGAGAGGACATGGGAGAGGGGAGGGGACAGAGGGAGAGAGGAGGGGACAGAGGAGGGGGGCACACAGGAGAGGACATGGGAGAGGGGAGGGGACAGAGGAGAGAGGGAGGGGACAGAGACGGGGAGGGGAAGGCATGGGAAGGGGATGAAGCCAAGGGGGGAAGATAGCAAGAGAGGAAGGGACAGAGGGAAGAAATAGAGGAAGGAGGCAACCGAGGACAGGGGAAAGAACAAAGTGGGAGATGAGGAGCCTGAGAATGACTACCGTACCCTCTCATCTGATGCTGATTATCAGGGGACAGCAAAACACCTCCCAGGCCCCCCCGCCTTTTTTTTTTTTCAGAAAACTAATAAGGATCTATGTTCTTCCACAGGAATCTCTTTTCTTTTTTTTTTTTTTTTAAGGAGAGAAGGAAAGAAAAAAAAGGAGTGAAGGAGAGGAAGAAAAAGAGGGAGAGAGAACAGAAATGTTGCTTTATTCTAAAAATGGGTATTGAAAACCTCTTTTATGCCAATAATTGTGCTTAATAATGGCCGATCAATATTTCATTTAAACCTATGAGCAGGTGTGATGTGGTATTGACAAGAATGTATATTTCATGTATTTAAAGTGGAGAACTCTATAAATGTTTATTAAGTTTACTTGTTCTGGATCTGAGTTCAAGTCCTGGATATCCTTATTAATTTTCTGTCTCGTTGAGTCTAAGTCTCTTTATAGGTCTTATGTATCTGGGTGTTAGGATCGTTAGCTTTTAATTTTGTTGCATTGATCCTTTTACCACTATATCTTTGTTGCTTTAAAATAGATGTCCCCAAGGGACATCTGCCCCAAGGTGGGGTCTCTGCCAGGGGCAACAGGGCCCTTGGGCGGGAGACAGGAACTGGCCTCCGTGAAGATCAGGGATGTGACCCTCCCCACCGCAGAGCCATCACCCACATCTAAGTACTTTTGAGCCCGTGGGCAGTTAGGCTGGGCAGGCCTCCAGGGCGGACAGCCACAGCCGCTTGGTGCAGGTACCTAAGAGGCTCCTCTGAGCTCTTCCTTCAGGTGCTCGGAATTGGTTTACAGGTGTTTGACCACGTGGACCCCTCCCAGTCTTCAATTATGTTTTAGACCAAAGGGTCCTAATCCTTGGTGTCTATCATCACAGGACAGCCCCTGGTCTGTGGTGGCCCAAAAATGGAACAAGAAGAAAGGCCAGAGAGGCCAGAGCCCTGGGCTCAAGTCTTGGTTCTGCCAATGACCCAGGGTGACTCCACTGGAGGCTCAGTTTCCTCATCTGTAAAATGGGCAGACAATGCACCTCACTAAGTGACCATGACTGCTATGTGTGACCCTGAACATGGCACAGCCTCATTCAACACAAATCCAAGGACTCAGTGCTGATCCCACAAGGGATGAAGCTGCACCACGATAAGTTCCCCATCCTAAAGCAGAGCCTGGGAGAGAAGCAGTGAAGGATGGGGAAAGGGCTATAGGCTGAAACCCAGGGTCAGCAGGTGACCTGGGTCAGCCTCCTGCTCTCTCCTAGCCTCCCCCAGCCATCTCTGCAAAGTGCAAGAAGTCTCTGCCCCAGATGCACACATCCACCTCATTTCCAGAAAACACAGTGAAGGTCACAGTGACCTCCTCTGATGGCCAGCCTGAGGCCCTTTGCCAGTCCTGGGAACACAGAACCCTGCCTGGGGGGTTGGGGGGAGTGTTGCCCAGCAGCTGACCTTTTCTGCAAGTGGCACCTTGTTAGGAATAAAGCTTTGAGTCATAAGGGAAAACAAGCACTCAGACAACAGATTTCTCAGCAAAGCAAATTTACTGCTGTGCAGAAGGGTGCCTCTCATAGGGCTGGTAGCCACGAGAGCACCCAAACAAAGGAGAGTAGGAGCTTTTACTCCTAACTCCACTCCTACTTTCGTGTCCTTTCCCCATTGGTTGGGGTCTGCCAGCACAATCTAAATTAGGCCTGATTGGCTAATCATTTAAACTTTCTTAGATAAGGTGGATATATGATGGGAGAGAGGGGAAAGAAGGAAGGGGTCATCTGTGGCAAACTAGAGAGCCAGTCCTTTCCCAAATAAGGAAAGCAAAGAGAGCTGGTGCTGTGGCATGCCTGGGTATGTAATAAAATTAAAAAACAAGAAAAGGAGAAGAAAGTGGAAGTGGAGGTACTTGGAATTAAAGAATAAAAGATTGAGCAGACTGTGAGAGCTTGCCATATCTCACACACCGGGTGGGGGGAGGGGCAGAGAGACAGAGTCCACCTCTGATGCCAAAACCACCAGTGGCTCAAATTCAGTGCCTCCCTGCTCTCCAGGGGCTTATACTCTAATAGAGAAATAAACTCTCACATATCCACCTAAATCTCATCTTGCACTGTAGCTCCTGTAATTCCCAAGTGTCATGGGAGTGACCCAGTGGGAGATAATTGAATCACAGGGCAGGTGTTTCCTGTGCTGTGCTGTTCTTGTGGTAGGGAATGAGTCTCATGAGCTCTGATGGTTTTATAGATGGGAGTTCCCTGCACATGCTCTCTCTTTATCAGTCACTATGTAAGACATCCCTTTGCTCTTCATCTTCTACCATGATTGTGAGGCCTCCCCAGCCATGTGGAACTGTGAGTCCATTAAACCTCTTTCCCTTATGAATTACCCAGTCTCAGGTACGTCTTTATTAGCAGTGTGAGAACAGACTAATACAACTGGCTTCACAGCCAATAAATACACAGAGGGGAGAGAAGGCTGCTTGTGAGTCTGAGGAAACAGCCCAGGACTTACTCCATCCCTACCAGGAGCCTCTCATCCCCTGGAGGTGTCTGTGGCTCAAGTCCCAAAGTGCCCAGGCCTAGGCTGCAAGGACCGCAGGACACAGGGCCATTAACAGCAAATTAGTGGCCTATTACTGTGGAGGCAGCACCAGGACTCTGTGGGAAGAGGTGACCCCTGAGGGCTGTGCTGTGGGTGCCACTGGAAGCAGGAAAGAAGTGGCCCTTGCAGGTGGCACTGGGGGAAGGACACAGACACAGAGAGGAATGACAGTAAAAAAGTCATGCTTCATCCTTATAGAACTTTCTCCCACTTCCGTTGCCCAGGAAGTCAGAAGGAAATTATTGCCTTCCTCCTCCTCCTTGCCCACCTCCTCCCTATCCCCGAACACCGGGCCGAGAGTGCAAAAGCCTTGCTGGTCTGGCCAAGGCGCTAGTGCAGTGGTGTCCTGCTGGCTGGAGCCAGGGCTCTCCTGTGCTCCCCGCTTCTGTGCCTGCTCCTGCCCCTGAATCCCAGTGCCCCTGGCCTTCGTCCAAGACCTAGGCCACCCCCAGTAACTTATACTTCTCACTACTCCCTGCCACCACCCCGCTCTGTACCTCCCGTTCTTCCCTCCCACTATGGCTAAGATCTCCTAACAAGTCTTCTGTTCTCCCTTGCTAACCACACTCTACCGGCCATCAGATTCATCTTCCCAAACCATGGTTCTGGTCATGACTCACCCTCCCCTGTTCCAAAGCCTTCAGTGGCCTCTCAACTCCACTGGGTGTTAGGATCATGGGACTACCTCCACCTGTGGCTGACAGGGCATGTCCCCCACCCAAGTCCCCCACCCATGTAAGTCTCTGTGTCCCCAGAAAACCCACAGCCAGGCCTGCGTTTCCCCAGGGTGGGTCGGCAAAGGCTTTCTGTAAAGGGCCGGAGAACAATGATTTTTGGCTTTGCCAGCCACATTGTCTCCATCACAATGACTCAGTGCTGCCTGTGACAGGGAGACAATACAGACACACAGGGTATAGTTGTGTTCCAGTAAAACCTCATTTGTAAAACCAGGCACAGAAGACCCCCACACTCAGCACTACGCGCTGTCCTGACTCTGCCTTGGCTCCGCTGTTCATTCACCTGGGGCAGCCGCCCGCTCCTAGCCCACATCCATTCTCCGGATTCTTTCAGGCTTAGCAGCAGGCATTGTTACACCCAAGGATCTTTGGCTTCCACTCCCAGTCAATGCACTCCCTCGGTCCTCTGTACCCCATCACCCTCTGCCAGTCCTGCACGCAGCAGGTGCACCGATCACCTTCTCCCTCATAGCCATCTGAGCTGCATCCTGTCCAGCCTCCAGCACCAGGACAAGGGTCCTGGCCCATGAAGCTTGTTAGCCTCAGTGCCTGGGATGCAGTGGCGCAAAATAAGATAAATTTCTGTTGAGTCAATGAATGAATTGGTCTCTGAAACACATAGACACCATCCTCCAGGAGAGTAAAAAGTTCCAATGAATCAAATGAACTGGGGACTCCAGGGTCTCTCCTTCCACCTTAACAGAGCACCCACTGCATGCCAGGCACTGTGCATCCAGCTTCTCAGGGTGACACAGGAGGGTGAAGTGCCACTCTGGCCTCTCAGGACCCTGGCCTAGCAGGGGAGAGAACACATCATGATGGTCCAAGAACAAGCAAAGCGGGAGTCCAGAAGAAGCCTGGTGTGGATGCAATCGGGGAAGGCATTCCCAAGAGGTGACAGCTGGGTAGGACTCACCAGGCGGAGAAGGGTGGGAGAGGGCAGGGAGAGGCATTTTGCTCAGAGGAATGGCCAAGGGCAGGCCAGAAGCTGGTTCACCCATCCTGCAGGTGTCCAAGACTGACCTGACACTCAGGTTCCCTGCTCTAGAGGCCAACGGGATGGATAGATGGGCAAGTAAATTCAGACAAAGTATATATTTGATATACATGGGCCAGGACAGAAGTCCCCAGGAGAGACCTTTCTGCAGACCCCACTAGGCCTCAGTCCACAGAGCCCCAGGCAGGCAGGGCTGCCTGGAGAAGGGGCCACAGCCTGAAGGAGACACTTAGAAGAGCAGGACTTAAGACACTCGGCCACAGGGCCAACTGAGAGGGGGCCCAGCTCCTGGCTCTACTTTGGTGGTGCCCAAGACTCCCACAGCCCAACTCAGTAGCCCCATTCCCACCATGGGAAAGTCTTTTGTGAGAGGTTTGGAGGAGGAGGCAGCAGAAGGTGGCCAAGGGGCAGGGTTCCTGGCCCTTCTCAACTGCCAACTGGCTGTGGGGCTGTGGACAAGTGGCTGTTCTCACCAGGCCTCTGTCCCTTGAGTTTGGGAAGATGTTGGAGGGTCCTTCAAGTCCTGACATACAGATATCCATGTAGGGACCCAACTGGCTATCATCTCTGTGGGTCCCTAAGCCTTGCCCCAAGGAAAGAGGAAGGACAGAGGAGGACAGAGACGAGTAAAATAATCTTGCCTCTCTCTTTGTTATTTTGCTTTTTGTTTTAAGATGGAGTCTCTCACTCTGTCACCAGGCTGGAGTGCAGTAACGCAATCTCGGCTCACTGCAACCTCTGCCTCCTGAGTTCAAGTGATTCTCCTGCCTCAGCCTCTTCAGTAGCTGGGACTACAGGCGCATGCCACCACGTCCAGCTAATTTTTTTTTTTTTTTTTTCAAGTAGAGATGGGGTTTCACCGTGTTGGCCAGGATGGTCTCGATCTCCTGTGATCCACCCACCTCGGCCCCCCAAAGTGCTGGGATTACAGGTGTGAGCCACCGTGCCCGGCCAATCTTGCCTGTGTCTCCAAGGCGTATCTGGGGTGTACAGGCTCCCCCACCCTCCCTCCCACCCAGGCTCAGCTCTGTGTCCCTGCGATCACTCAGGGACTCCCTTCTATAGCTATAGGTGTCCCTAACACCCAAGAGGCCCACAAGGGCCACCACAGAGCCACTCAAGCTAGGGGAGCTGAGAGACAGGAGACAGATGTGGACTGGGTAGCAGGGGAGGCACCCACAGCAGCCCCAGGTGAGCCAAGGGCAGGGTCGAGGGCTTATTCACTCGACACTTCTTGCTCCCAGCATGGAAGAGTAGGTGCTCGTCAAAAAGACTGTAATTAAAACTGAATCAGGGGCCCTTCCCCTTTCTTCTTCTCGGAGAAGAAACCTGGAGAGTGGTAGTGGCTGACACTTTTTGAGGGTCTCTTTCTCCTCCTTTCCTCCTGGGAGGGCTGTCTCGTCTGTCCTGCCCAGACTGACTTAGTCAGTAGACCCCAGCCACCTGCCAGGCAACCTCCTGAGCCCCCGGACCCGTCATGCCCAACATTTGTGCAGCATTCCTCCACTGACTAAGCACTTTTGCATACATCATCTCACACACAGGTCACCGATATGTCCACTGAGATCACACCAAAATCTGAACAAGCCCCCTGACAGCAAGATTACAGAAAATTAGGCTGGGGCTAAAAGATACCAAGCAACCGATGCCTTGGCAAAATAATTAAGTGGGCCTCAGAATCATCAGGGCTGATGGTGAAGGGGACTGAGGTGAGGGTCCCGAAGCCACAGCTTTGGACATCATGCCCACAAGGAACCACATGGGCATCCTGGGAAGGTTGCCAGTGTCCTGCTGAGTCAGTCTCTCCCAGGGTGGGCCGGCCCAATGGGCTCTGGATGAAGGGTGCATGGCAGAGGCTGGTAGGGTCTGGAGGACCTGACAGGTGGCACAGCCCTGACCAGCTGAGCTGCCCGCCGCTCTAGCATGAAATTGAGCAATTGTCTGTGGAGCAGGACCCCAAGCCCCCTGCTCGCGGCCACTCAAGCATGCCCACTGTCATTAGGAGCTGCCCAAGGGTGACAACAGCACTTCAGCTCCAATCAGGAGAGGCACCAAGTGGAGGGACAGGACATGGAAGAGCTCCCCAGCGAGCTGCCAAGAGGGCACTTGGAGGTCAGCTGCTACTGAGCAGGGGAGCCCACAAGGGAAGGGGAGTGAGGCAGAAAGAGAAGGGGGGGCTTCCCTAACCAGGACAGGCACATACACTTCTCAGTGGGTGCCCAGGAGGGACCTGAACCCCACTAGGCCGGGGCCCGCTCAAGCCCGCATCCTGGCTATGGACGTGCACTGCTGATGCTACGAGCCTCCTGCCCCACTCAGACGGGTGTCTCATGGCCCCGCACATGGCCAGGACTTGCTCCCTCTGCACCTGTGCCAAGGCTGTGCCACACTGCCTGCTCTTCAGACCCCACAGCCTGCAGGGCAGTATAATACTGTGATGTAACAGGGTTTTGCACTTGCAAGACGAATGCCTAAATGAAGGAACTGGTGAAGAATGACCCTCCGGCAGCTCTCCGCTGCTTCTCGGGATCCCTGATGGGAAGGGAAGCCCCTCCCTCCCCGACCCCAGCCAAGTCATTTCCCACACCACTTCCGGCACCATGGTGCTCCCCCCATGCCTCAGCCACACCCCCTCACCTGGACAGATGTGCAGGTGGTGATGACGCTGGTCCCCAGGCCGGTGCTATCACTGAGGTCATCTGGCAAAGAAGGTGTCTTCTCCACCCGAGGAGCCTGAGTGGCCTGGAATGAGGGCCCTTTAGGGGACACATTCACATCCGTGCCATTGCCAAAGGCCTGGATGGCGTTCCCTAGGATGGGGTGAGGGTAGATGCAGAGGAGTCAGGACCCACATCCGTCACTCCTGGCTCTGCTCCTCACTCTCCTCACCCTGACCACCCCTTCCCCGGAATAGCCCAGAAGCCAGGACAGAGCACAGCACAGCCAGATCCCCTCTGCTGAACCTCTTTTTCAGATACCTACAAAGGTCTCATGCCTTCAGAACACAGCAAGAGGGAGGTTAAAAAAGAGAAGCCAGAATAGCAAGAAGTGTACATGATGGGGAACACAGAAGAGAAAAGGAGAAAAGGAAGCGGGTGGGGCACAGGGGAGCCTTGGGGAGCATGGTGCAACCAGCCACGCCTCCAGAAGCTCCTCACCCCCAGCTCCCTAGTCACAGGCTCTTCCGGACCTTGTGCCTCCTTGGACGTTCCCAGGTCCCCACCCTGGCACACAAGGGCCCCACACTCAGCTCTGCCTGCCCCACACCATAGACTTTCCCTGGTTGGCCTCTGCTCCTCTCGCACCATCCACACAGGTGCCCAGAAAATCTCTGCCTCCACATGCCACATGCATCAAACTCATCATGTCTAAGCCTGGGCTGGATGTCTCCTGCCCTTGTGGACACTCCTTTCCCCCAACCCCTCATACTGCAGCCTTGAAGGTGTCATCTCTTATCTACCCAGCTCCCCCATGTCAGAATCCTGAGGGTCACCCATGGTGCCTCCCTGGCAGTTCACTGAGCCCACCTCCTAAAGATCCCTCCCCCCATCTCCCATCACTGTTCCCCTCCCACAATCTGGTCCACAGCCACCATTGTGTGCCCCTGTGAGCGGCTACTGTGGCCTTCTGATGAGCCTCTCAGTGTCAGGTCACCTGTTGGAATAATCTCTCTGACCCCCACTGCCTCACACAACAGGCAGATTTGCTTTCTGGGACGTCAGTCTGATCTCAACACCCGCTGCCGACATTCCTTCAAACACTCACACCATCACTGTCACCCCGGCAGAACAAAAAGATCTAAATGCCTCAGGCCTGTGAGGCCCTGAGTGACAAGGATGCTGTCTACCTGTCCGGATAACTCTGTCACTCCGGTCATCTTCAGCACTATGTAGCAAGGCTACACTACTGGCAGGACCCTCCACCTGCCATGATCTTCTGTGGAGCCCTGGACCTCTGCCAGGCACTCCCTACCTCTTCAACTGACTGATGCCCAGCTAACCATTCACGGATACATTCTCCAAGAAGCCTTCAGGGCCTCCCTCTTCCTGGCCAACTTGGGCATCCCCACCCTGGACTCCTCAAGGTCCCTGTGCAGATCTGTCCCCTAGAGCAGTTCCCCTTGCGCTGGGATCCTGAGCGACCCCTCTCTGTCCGCCTCTATCAGCTACTCCCTCCTTAAAAACTTGGATCTACAACTCTCCAGTGCCATACACAGAGGGAGGAATGGATGGATGGATGGACAGAATAAATAATGGAGGGAAGGAAAGAGGTAAGAAATCTGCAGGTGTGCTTGGGCAGAAATGAGTGCTGGGCTGGAAAGATCAAAGGAGGACTGAGCTGGCCTGTGGCTACCTCCCTCTAGCTTTTGGGTTAGGAGTGTGATGATGTGGAATGGAAGTCAGTTCCAAGGAGACACAAACCCGCTAAAGGGAGATATGACAGACAGACACCAGAGGTCCTCACGAGAAGGCTCAGTCTCCAAGGGAAACTGGCTGAAGCTGTCCCAATAACAGACCAGACCAAATAGCAGGCTTGACCTAGGTTCAAGGCCTCTGGTGGTAAACTGAGGCTGACCTACCGACAGTTCTGGTGTGAATCTCCAAGAGCTAAAAACCCAAGGTCCTCATGGGCAAGGCCCATGGCGGAGAAGCTTCGTGTACATCAGCAGCCATCCCCATGGGAGGAGACGGAATGGCTAAGAGAGACTCCGGGGCGGTGTGCGGGGAGGGCCTGCTGGGTTGGGGAGAACATCCCAGAACTTACGGAGACACGGGTTCTCAGTGAAGTCCCGGAGGAACTTCTCACACTCCTCCTCCATGTTCCCGCTGCCACGACAGTTGCACCAGGGGGACACCACGATGCCAGTGGGGCTGGAGTCCACGTAGTTCGGTGTCATGTCAAACCCTGGGCAGGGAGAAGGTGGGGGAAAGGAGAGGGGTGTGGTGAGGTTTTCCCCTTGGGCCCACAGACTGACCCCAGGCACAGCAGGGCAGAGGTACCCATCCTCTCACCTGGCCCCTAAACACACATCTGACCCTATCACACTCCTAACTCTGAGCATGACTATCCCAGTGACCATGGGGTCAGCAGGGACAGAGGGGCCACAGCACAGAGGACACTGGGCTCCTCAGCACCAGGAAGGGGAGAAGAGGCCCCGGAGCCCCTCCCAGATTGTGGGCTGCTGCTGGTCCGAAGATCACTCTGATTTTAGAAGACCGGCTGCTTGATGGGAAAGGAGAATGCAGGGGCCCAGAGCAGACCAGCTTTTCCCCATCAGTGCATTGTGCCTGTTGTACACCCCTGGAAGAGCCCTGGAGCCAGCCCAGGTGGGGTACACAGTCTTTTTAAATTCCATATGGTTGCCAGCTTATGACTTCCACTTGTTTACTGTAATATCTGGTGTGTTTTTAGTTATCTAATTTTGTATTCAGTTATAACCATAGTAGGGGTAGTGAATATATGGCAGGTGTAATCCCTGGTGCTGCAGTGGATCTTCTTTTCTTTTCGACAAGATAATACTGTGAGTTTCCCTCCTTCCTTCCCTCTAATTTGTTTTCTCTTCCTTTTCCCCCAGCCTTTTGCATCCCCTGTTCTACCCTGTCCTACAACTCTCATATGCACAGTCTTCTCTCTTTGTGTGTGACTTCACTTTTCAAAATCTAATCAGGTGTTTGCTCAAATGAGGGGAGATTTTTATTTTTATCTTTTTTTAAGGCTGAGATTTCAGCAGAGTACTTTTCTTTTCGTTGTTTCCCCCACAAACCCATCAGTCTGGGAGAGTACTGGGAGTGGAAATCACGTTGCCTGGGATGCTGGTTTCTTTGTGTATTACATAAAACGTATGTAAATGTCTCTCCATTTGGGCTGGGGTTTGCATTCTCCCCTTGGCTATTAATGGGGGGCGTTGCATTCTCCCCTTGGCTATTAATGGCGGGGGAGGCCAGTGGGCAGGCAGCCCTCACCCTGCCTGGCATGTGCAGAGACCCCAGCCACTCTGTGTGGGCAGGGTGCTGTCAAGACCAAACCTCTTGCGGGGGTGGGGGCAGGTGGGGGGAACTCTTGGAAGCAAAGAAGTATCACTTCTTTCTCAAGTGGAACGTTTACACCTTGCTGTAACATTTGAACTTTCACAAGAGATGTAATAATTTTGATAATAAAATTCTTAACCATAAAAAAATAATAAAATCAGAGTGAATGACGCTAACATCCTGGGATCAGTGCCAACATTGATGAGCAAGGTAAGCCTACTTACCCCACTCGGAGGGGCTCTGAGTGACTCAACTTCTCTAGAGCCTCAGTTTCCTCATCTATGAAATGGAGGTATCTCCAGTCCCCTAGAAAGAGCTGTTGGGAGAATTCAGTAACAGTCCCCATAAACTGCTCAGGACAGAGCCTGGAATATCAGAACCCTGCAATGAATGTCACCTTTGCTTCTTATTTCAAGAGCCTCAGAAGAACCCTGGGGCCCTCCTCCTTGCTACAGAGCTGCCTTCCCGCTGGTTTCCCCTCACAGGTCTCTCTCAATCTGCTGCAGAGAAATCGGGGCTCAGGCTGTCTCCCCCGACTGGCTCTGGGCTGGTAAGATGCGGGCAGCAAGGACTCACAGAGCCCAGGTGTGCAGGAAGAGCTTACCAATCATGCCAGCGTAGGAGCCCAGACATGCCTGGTAGTTGTCCGCAGGGCAGCTGGTAACCGTGTGGTAGGAGGCTCGACAATTGGCATGGAAGTCGGCCAGCCGGGACCTGGTGTCGGGGAGAAGATGCAATGGTGAAAACAGGGGTTTAGTCTGGCTGCCTTCTTCTCCTCTGTCCTGCCAGTAGCATCTCCTCCCTGCAGCTTCCCAGGTGGAAGAAGCCAGGAAGTGGGAGGGGAGAAAAGTGGGGGAACCAAGTCTTTGCGGGGACTCAAGCTGTGAGCTCCTTGAGGACTGATACTTCCCGGAGAGACAGGCTCCTAGGGTCACTTAAGAAAAACCCAGTGATTGGCTGACAAAAAGGACCCCAACGAGACACAGAAACAGCCTGCTCTAAATGGCTCTTTTAGGCAAAGGAACACAGGAAGGAGCCTGTGAGTTTGTGGAGAATTCCTGGGACCCAGTCAGGAAAGCTGGGCTCCACCTTTCGTGGGGCTGCGGTCCTGGGTGGGCTTGCCCAAGCCCATCAACCTGGCACTGCGAAATCCCACCTGCAAAACGGTGAACAGTCCCTTCCCTAGATGCCTCATAGAATCCGTCTGAGGGTCAAAGCAGCCAGTGGCCAGGGAGGCGAAAGAGTCTCCCTGGGTGAGATATGCCACAGGCATCCTCCGCTGGTCTCTTCTGTGTTAAGCCAGTGCAAAGTCTCCTCTGCCATCCCTCCACCCCTTCCCCAGTCCACTGGAAGATTTCTCCCTCTTTCCAAATGCTTCATTGCACGAGGAGCTCCTGATTTTGCCCGGCTGGGTTTCTCCGGTTAGAACACACATTCCCAGAGTGGCAGACTCCATTGATTTCCTCATTCACATCCTCCACAGCTGCACCTCTGGGCAGGGACGAGGTGTAGACAGCCGTGCATCCCTTCTGCAAATACACAAGCCCTGCCACGTGGCTAACAGACTAAAGGTGGGAATGCCAACCTTTGGTTGTTGCATGGATGCAACATCAGAAAGGAAACTGGGGACCGGGGTAGCATGCCTGGCAGGCCAGGGGCTGGGGCAGTGGGAAGTCACTGCTGGCTTATCTCCCTGGGGAAGCACACTGCCTGCCACAGCAGGCCTGAGAGCCCACACACTCTGTGCATGTATTGGGAGCATCCCACATAACGCCGGTTCCCACCCAGCACACAGGGAGCCTTGTTTCTCTCCTGCAAGGCCAGTTCTCCCATCCCTGACATTGGGAACCTCAGGACCTCGACTGGCCTCACCATCCATGTGGCCTCTCAAATGTCTCCAGCCCCACAGGCTGGAGAAGGAACAGCAGCATGAATGGGGAGTACATGGCTTCCTGCTGTCTTACCCTTTGGGGAATCCCAAGTATTTCCCTGACAGGCCACAAGGAGAGCAAGGCCATAGGGAAAGAGGCTGGAGAAGAGGAAACCAGCTAGAAAAGAGAAGATGAAAGCATGCAGACCAAAGTGGAGCTGGCCAGAGGGACACCTCAGTGAAGCGGGGAGAGGCAGATCCAGCCGCTGGGAGAGGACGGTCATCTGTCGCATGGCCATGCTGTCCCTTGCTCACTGGCTGTGTGACCTTGGGCTGGCCTGTCATGTCTTCAGGGCTCAGTGTCCCCAGTGAACAAACTGGGAGAGCCACGCCTGCCAACCTACCTCCTTGGGCTGTGACAGAGAGCCAAGGAGACAGTGAGTGGGAGCGCTCAGAACAGAAGATGCCCAACGGAGACAGGAGGCGTCATCCTCATCTTCCTTCTCTGCCCAGCGCTGTGCACTACAAATGCACAGCAGAACAGTTTTTCCTGGTGTCTGATACAGAAGGAAAAATAGACCCTCTTATCCAAGGTGGGTCTGGGTCCCACACAGAACAAGTGAGTGCATCAAGGAAATGGGGCTCCCTCTCACTCTCCCGTCCTGCAGCATCCCACTGTCCTTCTGCATGCCATGCTGGGGACAAAGGAGGACAAACGCTGCCCTCAAAGGAGGGCAGTGCACACAGGCCCTCTTGGCTAGGCCCTGGGGTGACCATGGACAAGAGCGCCCTCTCGTTCCTCTGAGGTTATGACCTACTTCTTCGGCCTTAGAGAGCTATTCACAGCAAAGGGAGGGGGAGGACACAGGCCTGAGGCCCACAGACAGCAAAGGGGATGGCAAAGTGAAGAGACGCCGCCAAGCTTTCTGTTTCCCCCATTGCTCCATCCTCAGCATACAGCAGCCTTGGCAAGAGAAAGTGACAAATGGGGCTATTTAGGAGGACATGGAGTCCAAGCCCAAGGCTCCATGAGGCCTTGGATTGCTCAACTTTCTCTCTGCCCCTCCATGCATGATCAAGTCCACATTAGTGGGCTCCCTCTGCCAGCATCAGAGACCACATGGTGTCAATTTCCTTCAAGCCCTGGACACTGTCCCATTCCAACCATGACCCCTCGCCCCAGCCCTGCTAGGCACACTTCTCCAAGGCAAATGTTATCCTTTTCGTAATACATGGTGAGCTTGCAGGTGATCTCTGTGCTCTCTCTAGGCCAGATGTCACCTTATCCCTCCAACATCGGGAGGTCACTTGGCTCCTGGACTCCCGTCTTGCTGTGGAGAACAGACTCTTCCTGGATCAGCCCCATCACTTTGCAGATTTCTGCCTTTTAGAGCCCTCGTAAGAGAGATGGCATAAAAGAAGGCATGAGAGAAACAGGAATAGATAGGAAAAAAAAGCAGAGAGCTAGCAAGAGAACCAAAATGAAGAGGAGCCACGTTTGTCCTGGCTGAGACCAAGCCAAGTCTGCCAGGTGAGCGCATGGCAGCAAGTGGATCCATCCAAAAAACACAAACCCTCTCTGGGCTTGTTTCTTTGGCAGCTTTAGCCTGTTCAGTTGAAGGAGCAGGAGATAGGGGGAGAGGGAGGGAGAGAGAGAGAGACACGTGACCCTCAGTTGGATGAAAAGGTTGCCATATTCAACGAAGAACATCTAGGTTCATTTGAATTTCAGACAATGAGTATCTTTTGTTAGCATAAGTATGTCCACGTAACAACTGGGAAATACTTACACTAAACAGTTTTTCTTTTTTATCCGGAATACTTATTTAACTGGGCATCCAATATTTTTATTTGTTAGATCTGGCAACATTGTTTTTGGTTTTGTATTTGAGATGGAGTCTTCCTCTGTTGCCCATGCTGCAGTGCAGTGGTACGATCTTGGCTCACTGCAGCCTCCACCTCTCCATTTCAAGTGGTTCTCAGCGCTCCCCACCCCACCCACCGTAGTCGGGATTACAGGTGTATGCCACCATGACCGGTTCATTTTTGTATTTTTAGTAGAGACAGGTTTCACCTTGTTGGCCAAGCTGGTCTCAAAGTCCTGACCTCAAGTGATCCTCCCACCTCAGCCTCCCAAACTGCTGGGATTACAGGGATGAGTCACCACAGCCAGTCTGGCAACAAATTTGATGAGCACATAAGCCCCCAGGAAAGGAGAAGAGATAGCAGGGTTGAATGTGCAAAGGTCAAATCACAGAAGCAGAAGTCATCTAGATTTACGGGGGTACAGGTGGACTTTCTATAGATCACTGGTTCTCAAAGTGTGGTCCACAGACCAGCAGCATCTATATCAACTGGGAACGTGCTCAAAATACAGATTCTCTTGCCCCACCCCATCTCTCTGCCTGGACCAGACAAGCAATATCTGAAATTCTAAGGGCAGAGCCCAGCAATCTGCACCCTAACAAGCCCTTCCAGTGATCCCAAGGCAGGCTGAAGTTTGAGAACACGGCCACATGGCACAGGTTTCCGAGATGGACTTGAGGTACCTTTCAGACCTCACATCCTAGTTTCAGTTTTACATATCCCCATTTTATGGCCTAGCCATAAAGGAAAGCAGTGCTTTGGGCCACAGGGAGAGAAGGCTCATGGTTACGTGGCAAAGAGTACACGTTATAAACACACACACACACACACACACACACACACACACACACACACTCCTACCCCCACAGACACACCAGTTACACTTGGATCCATACTTCCCAGTGCTATGCTTTGGTTTTCACCAAGAGGAAATATACATGAAATTGTTATTAATAAAACCTCCCTTGATCCAGGCTGTAAACACCTTCCCAAGAGCATACTTTCCCAAATTCATCTCATGTAGAATAGTACTGGGGTGAATTACCCTCACGGAACCCCAGAACTTCACAATGCTGATCAATACGTGGCTTTCTGGTCTGAAGTTCTTTGTGGTTGCTGTTGTTGAGACAAGGTCTCGCTCTGTCGCCCAGGCTGGGCAGTGGCGAAATCTTGGCTCAGTGCAACCTCCGCCTCCCAGGTTCAAGCGATTCTTGTGCCTCATCCACCAGAGCATCTGGGATTACAGGTGTATGCCACCATGCTGGCTAAATTTTTTTGTATTTTTAGTACAGATGGGGTTTCGCCATGTTACCCAGGCTGGTCTCAAACTCCTGGCTTTAAATGATCCACCTACCTCAGCCTTTCAAAGTGCTAGGATTCCAGACCTGAGTGAAGTTCTTGTTTATCAGGTGATACCTGCTATGTTACTGCCATGGAAAGCAGGTTTGTCCTGGTTGCAGATGTGGAAGAGGAAGGAGAAGAAAGGGAGTTGACATTCACTGAGGACCTATGATGTGTCAGGTGCTATTAACTCATTTAATTTTCTGAATAATCCCACAAAGTAGCATAGTTACACAATGAGGACACAGAAGCTCAGAAAGGCTACATCACACAGTCACATACCCTGCAGCCAGCACGCCACGGCCAGGTACGGAGGCCGACAGGAACAGGGGCGGCCACCAGCACTGCCTGACACAAAGGAATGGGGCACTTGAATATTTCATGGAGGAAAAAAAGAGTTTCCAAGAAGTGCAAATTACTCATGATAGGCTTCATAGACGATTTATAGAAATACTGAAAAAATGGCCTTAATAGACCCAAGTGCCTCTGGAATGGCGTTCTAACGTCCCCTCCGGCAGTGCAGGCCTTGGTTAAGTGGGCTCAATGTGATGTGACACTAAGAAAAGGGAAAATGAATGTCACCCACACGGCTGCTTTCTGACCCCTCCAGGGCTCACTGTGGACAACCTGATCCTCC